GGGAACAGATTCATATTCGTGCTTCGCTCAACGCGTCACTTTGGTGACTAAGTTTGTTCTTCCCGGTTGTGGACGTGAAAGACACTTAAGAGGGGGTAGGGACACACACACACACACACGCGGCATATACACATGTGGACGGACCCATCCGGCGTTCCCTTAAACAGTTGGCGCTGGCGGTTCGCGGTTCGCCGCTCATCTCTCACTTCTTCCTCCCGTGGCGCGCACTTTAGTAGTGTGTTGCGCATTCGGGACACTGCTCAGAAAGTTGTATTTACAACTCTTATTGATTTCTAGAGATAACAGTACAGACATGCACTGTGTAGCGAGAACTGTAGCCATATAGAGGAGCATTTTTCCTGCTCTCATTTTGTCCCCACGTTGTCGTCACGTTCGTTGTACGAGTATCTGCAGAACTATACACTTCGCAGTTGCTCTTATCAAGGCATGCAAACATAGATGGTGTCACTATGTGTTTACTCACAAAATGGTGTTTTAAACGACAAAAAGGGAAACAAAAAAATCAGGTGAATAAAATGTTGGAAAATATTCAGTTAACATTTGCTTGCATAATTGATAAAGTATTTTTTTATTTCCTTTTTTTTTAAAAAAAATTGGGAGATCAAAAAAATCACCCTCCTCCTTTTGTGGTGACAGAAAACGTTGGAAATTTATTCTCGACGCACACATGCAGTGAAATGGAAATTTTACCACCTTTTCGTTTAAAACGGAATTTCTTACATTTCACTTTTTCTTTGATTTCTGTATCACATCACAGGAATTGCTAATAAAAAAAAGGTAAGTCATTAAAAAGGCCTTGCTTGGAGTGGTTCCCCAGTGAAACAATGCATCACCTTTTAAATTATTTTCCTCTTTTTCCTTCCCCCATTTTGGTTCCCTTCAAATCGCATCCATGTTGTCATATCTGCCCTGTTAAGTAGAATGGAGCAAATGCAGTTGAAGGTTCCCAAATTGGTATCCCCTCGTTTATTTTTAAAACCTGTTAGGCAGCTTGGGCCACTTGAAAAATTGCATGTCGTTTTAAAGGAGTACGTCCCCACAGGGGTGTGTGAGCACGGAACTGCGGGCGCATAATGACAGACCCTCGCAATGGGAACCACTTTGCCTGAACGACGCTGTGACAACGCTGTCAAAACGCTATCTTAGCGCTGTGCACACACACCACCTGCGCCGCGAAAGAAAAAAACGAAATCCCCCTAGAGAAATGCTTCTCCTGGTCGTTAAAAAAAATACAGTTTTCCACTTAACCTTAAGTGGGGTCTCCACGCAGGGCAAATGCGAGAAAGGCCCCTTCACCGAAAGTGAACTTAGACAATGAAAGATGTTCCCATTGATGGGGGTTTCGATAGGCAGAAATACAAGTGTGCTGTCTGAACAGGGATATACCTGCCAATTCTTCAAAGAGAGGAAAAAAAAAAGAAAAACACAGAAACGTATAAGTGAAAGTGAACTAAAGTGCACACTCTGGTGTTCCAATAACAGATCTTTATGCGTGCTACGCAGGAGTGATGCGCCCAAAGGGTTCTCCCCTTATGTGTAACGCTAAACACGTCATGCGAATTCAACCCGTTTTGTAAGAAGCAAAAAGGAGGAAATGCTTTTCACAAAAAAGGAAAGAAATCTTTCTGAATAGCCAGCAAAGATAAAATTAAAAAATAAAAAAAAAATTCCCTTTCCAATTCTGCGTATTTTTTTTTTTTCTTCCGCTTCATGAAACACCAAATCGTATGGCCTTATCCGTGTATCATTGTGAAGCCCACTTTAAGAGTACTCGTGGGGGAGCTTTCTAAAAAAAAAAAAAACACAGAAGGAACCCATATAAATTGTCACTTTAAGATGAATGACTCGAAATATACGAGTCACATTTTGTGTAAATGTACAAAAAGGGGAAAGTCAAAGAGTGAACGGGAAGAAAGGGAAAAAAAACCATTTTACACATATAAACAATTTTTTGCAAGCATAGGGGCAAATGTACATGCGGAAGGAACATGGTTATATAATGCGAGTGGTATGATCAGAAGTCTGACTTCCTTTTGTCGTACTTCAGGGGAAGTGAACTGAAGAGAAACGCAAAAGAGATCCAAAATTTCGAAAATTATGAATGAAAGGATACTAAAAAATATTTGGAAGTGTGAGCCATCATGTCTATTAAGCAAAAGTAATTTTAATGCAAGTTTGGTTTCCACATTTAAAATATCGCGATCTAGCACTTTACTTCTGGAGGGGAAACATAACTTGGTGATACTTGCCCGTGCGAATCATCACGGCGTAGTGCGCGGGAGTAAGGAAAGGAACGATCCTCATCGGGAGAAGAACGAACTTTTGGATGATGGAGCACACGGTGTCTGCGCCGGGGGCGCACACAATAATAGGGGGAGTTGCAGTGGTGAAGGCCCGCCGTTAAAAGGGACACAACACTACGCCTTCCGCTTTGACAAGGGCGCCCGAATGCTGCGCGCTGGGAGAAACAGGGATTCCTGGAAGAACTCGCCCGTCAGTTCGTATTCAACGGTGAGAGGGAGGAAAGATGAGCGTGAGGGAGGACAACCAGGAAAAAAGGATGCTGATGATGACGCCGGTGCGGTCGCAGTCGCCGATGCAAATAGTGAGTCACTCGAGAAGGACGAACCGGAATGCGAACCCCCCATGCGTAAGAACAAGCCACATGTTGAAAAAGACAATCAGGTGGATAGCAAACAGGTAGTTGGTAATGGCGATACGGTGGAGGACACGCGTGGGGAGGATCCCTCCAAAACGGGGAGCCACCTTAGCAGCAGTGGAACGATACGCACGAACAGTGGCGAGACGCAGCAGAACGAAAAGGGAGAACAAACTTCGGAAGGTTATAACATTGATTTGCAGAGGGGTGACTCCCAGAGTAGCAGTGACGACGGAAAAGACGAACTAACCGAGAAGCTAAAAAAAAAAAACGAAATAAAAAAAATGTTAAACATAATATTTTGCTCATCCATTCCTATGATCGGATTCGGGTTCATGGATCAGTTTATAATGATCCGTTTGGGAGATATTTTCGATGCATCAATCGGAGTGTCTTTGGGCATATCGACCCTGTGTGCTGCTTCCTTTGGCCAACTCTGCAGTGACACGTTCGGAGTCTTTTTTGGCTACGTCTTAAATTATTTATTACAAACATATAGAGTTATCCAACCAGCCAAATTCGACATCAAAAATAAAGTGTACCAACATTGCACCTTAGTGGGATCTGTGGTGGGAATTCTACTAGGTTGTGCTCTCGGAATGTTGCAACTCATTTTCATCGACACAACAAAAAGTGAAAGATTGAAAAAAAAAAAAGAATTAGATTTTATATTCCAAATGGTTATGTGTGATTGTTCCAATATTTTAAACTGCGAAACGTCGACCCTGTTTCTCTACGATAAGGCCAAAAATGAATTATGGAGCAAAGCCATACATGGAAGAAAAAACATCATAAAGATATCAGCCAATAGCAATGAAAAAAGTTTCAACCTCTGGGTTCTTCGAAACAAAGAAATAATTAACTGCAAGGATGTGGTAAATAATGAATTGTATAACCCCTCACATGATGAGAAATTTAATTTCAAAACGAGGACCATTTTAGCGGCACCCATCTTAGATCGAAATAACGAAGTTGTCGGTGTTCTTATGTTCCTTAACAAGTTAAGATCCCATGGTGGGTACTTTACCCGGAATGACGAAAAGCTAGCTGAGATGATGAGCAAACATATTTCCATCTTCATGGAAAAGTTCAATTATATCAGTGAGGGCGATAAAAAAATGATCATCTTCGATAAGGAAAAGAATATATCCCGCGAGGGGGAGGAAGAAGAGGAAGAAGAAGCAGACGAGGAAGAGGAGGACGAAAATCCACCACCCGTACCGAAGAACAGTTTGAACCACAATCAAGAGATAGGTGCACTCACGAGGGAACACACACATGAAGGAAATAAACCGCAAAGCAAACACCATGCAGTTAAAGAACGGAAAAGAAAAAGAACCCCCCCAAAAAATTTGCACTATCAAATTTCGCAAATAGATGAAGATGATAAAATATTCGACGAAGGAAGCGAAAATGCCAACATAAAGCAGTTTGATGAGTACTATGATGAGAAGACGGAGGAGGAGGACGACGTGTACGACGATGAGGATTACGACGAGGATGAGGAGGACGCGGAGGTGGAGAGTCAGGCGGAGAGGGAAAGCAACACGGAAGTGGAGAACCCCGCGGAGGAGAACCCCGCGCAGCTGGAGGAGGAAGAGATGTGTAAAGCATCCCAGCCTAGTAGGGGGCCCGTCGAAAAGGAGCAGACGGACAAATTGGACGAGAAATCGCGTGAAATAATAAACCTATTGCCCATTTCAAAAACGGGGTCGAAGAAAAATGAGCAACCAGTTAACGATTTCCTAGTGGAAGATCATTTTAACCATAGAGTGGATCATCTTAGTGCGGGGAAGAATATCTCAAAGGAGTGGCAATCAGACGAAGCAGACCAAGCAGAGGGAGCAGACCGAGTTGACTGCAAGGTTGAAGTGATTAACCGCGGGCACGACCAAGGTGCACCGCATAAACTCTCCATTTTGAGCATAGACAAAAAGGTAACAGATCCCGCGCAAAAGGAGGGCCCCTCTTCCTTCGGGGCTTTCAACTCAGGGGGGCCTCTCCCCGTGTCTTCCCCTCCCCACATTGTCCCAGGAAGGACTAGTAGTGAGAACATCCCCGGTGAGCGTAACAGGGGCAGTGTCGCCAATGACTACCCACGAATCGACCGCAGCAACGAAGGAGAGAAGGAACCCACCACTTTTGACATGCTATCGATTGCCCCTAACGCGGAAAACGCTTTAAAAAGTCACAAAAAGGGTAACTCTAATTTATACGAAAACAATTCTCAGGGAAGTGTTAATTTGGGGAACAAGTGGAAGAAGCTTATTATACATTCCTTAAGCACCATGCTGAGTGATGACGTTACTGAAGAGGGAGAAGGCATCCCTAGTTGGGCAAATGCGGAAGTTAGCTGCCCCCATGTTGACAGGGCGGACCGTTACGGTGCTGGGAGTGGTTTAGGGAGTGGCGCAGGAAGTGGTGCATCTGGCCAGTCAATCGGTGAGTCCTCTGCTTACAACGGCGGCGTTGCGCCAGATTACACCTACTACTACGACATCGAGCACACGAGCGATTACGGCAACCTGTATGTCAAGAACTTCTCCAGTGGGGTGGGGGCGAACGATGCATTCGAGAATGAGCGAAAGAAGGAACAAAACGACTCCATCGAAAGTTACCACCGCGGATACAACAGCGCCATTCTGAGCGAGACGCTGTGTAGGAACTCGTCCCTCTCCGTGGCGAGCGGAATCAAGGAAGAGCCTTTCAGAAGATATGCGCAGAATTACGTGTACGCGAAGGGGGTCTCATTGAGGAAAGCAGCTCTTCTGGAGGGAGCCGCAAACATGTACAGCTCCAGTGCATACAATTCAGAAAAGTATTTTTCACACATCCAATTTGCGAAGATATTTAAAATAGTCTCTGAGAAAAAAATGAATATAAAAAATTTCAAAATTTTAAAAAATATTTACAAGTACAATTTAAGTAAAATTTTTAGTAATCATTACAAATATATAATTGTGAAGAAGAAGAAAAAATTACGAAAGTTTTGCTACACACTTAAACATTTTGATATTTGCAAACTGGACCATTTCTGGTTTAACATATATTGCCAAAATGAGTTGAAAAAAATTTTCTTTCGAAATTTACACTTCATAATAGACTTACATAATACACGTATTGTCGATTTTAAGCTCATCAATAATTATATCCTTCATAAGATTTACGAGAATACCACTGTCAGTCGTCTGGCACCAAGCACATGCTACAACATTAAGATAATTGATTTTTTCTTCAAAGAAAATTTGTACCTTTTAAATAAAAGCACAATGAATGATATCATTTACAAGTATATAATTTTTTACTACTGCAGGAAGAAGTTGAGGAAAAAAAATTTTAACTATTACAATTATCAGGACATGTACCTCGCGGAGAACTTCTTCGGTCATAATACTCACACCAAGAAGGTCCCCAAAATTCTGGATGAGGATCTGGGCAAGAAGAGCGCGATAGTTACCGTGGACAGATAGGATAGCGTCGTATGGCGATGCGGTGTAGCTGTGTGGCGGTGTAGAAGAGGCCCTGCGGGGGGAGGCACAATCTGTGGGAACACACCGATTCACGTTTTGGATGTCTTCCCCCACATTTGCCGCTCCTCCGTTTTATTTATTTTTTTTTGTGTAGAAGAGAAAAATTGCCGATCTGCACATTTTTGTAAAATTTACCAGCGGGGGGCGTGCCTATGGCCAGGTCTAATTATGCTGCCCCCCAAGTGAGCCCACCTTAACTGCTCAAAAAAATAAAATAAACCATGTATGTCTATATACCTCTTTTAAATTAATTCGGTTTGCACTTATTTGTCCATAAATACGTACGCATGTTTTATTTCATTTTCGTTTTGCAAAAATTTTCCCAGAATGTACAGCTGACACATTTAATGGCAAAAAATACGCGCACGTCATACGTAGTTATATTCCCAGGCGTAACGCGGAATTGTTAACGCTTCTGCGTTCTTTCCAAATTTGGGGGGACCCCCCCGTTGCGTACATCTCCATGTCGCCTGCTCATCTTATGAATGGCTTATTCCCTAGTGTCTGTTTGCCGATCTGTTTTTTTTCTTTCTTTCTTTTTTTTTTTTTCGTTTAGGCTGCATGGTGTAGTCCCCCTTTGGGCAATTCCGCTGGATGCATCACTTTATTTTTTTTTTTTTAATCCTCTCGCACGCTTAGAGCAATTTTAATGAGCTGCAACTTGGCCAAGAACGGACTGAGGCTTTTCCATTTTTCACGCTTCTCTACCGCCTTCCCGTTGCGTTCCCCTTTTCTACACCGTGCAGTCGTTGCGTGTATTTCTTCACGCACCAAAGTGACCTTTTTGGGGGGCTGACACGACAATTTTTTTTTATTTTAACCGTTTTTTTTTTCCCCCCTTTTGTTAAAAAATTAATTTTAGTTACAATCCTACTTTTGGGTATATGAGGAGGGTCCGGTCGGTTGCTGTCCAAGATGAGAGGAAATAATTTGCCAGCAATTCTGTTCTAAAAAGTGAGAAAATAGTGCAAAACAAGAGCAAAAAAGAGCAAAAAAGGTGCAAAGAAAGTGCAAGCAACTTCCAAACGAACTTCCAAACGGGCAGCAAAATCGCGAGAGCCCTTGCGCCAAGGTCCCCTCTGATGCGGGCGGCCACCCTCCTAGAAGTTTCTGCCCATTTGGGGGGGGAAACAGATAGGTGAGGCACCCCCGCTTGAAGACCCACATCTCAACTTTGCAATTTTTAACTCACGTGTGTGAAAGGCACAAAGTTGCGCGGGGGAGGTGGATAAGGAGAACAACCAGGTTGTTAGTAGTGGCGTCCTTCTAGTTTGCGGCACCCACTGGCAGTAAAGAAGAGCCCTTTTCTGAGGCAGCTTCCGCCCCGCCTCCACCAAAAATGATGGGAATGCTAATCCTGGTTAGCATTTTCCTCATCGCGCTCACAATACTGCTAAGAGCCCTGCAGAATAAAAGTGGAAATGCCAAACGGATCCGACGGGACAATGACAAAGTTAAGGGCAAAAGTAACGAAGCCCCTAAACAAAAGAAGCAAACAGGTAGTGGTACTGCCAAAAGTGTTGCTACCACGCCAAGAAGTGTCTCCAGCAGCACTCCCCATGTCATGTTTGATAAAAATGTTGTTGCCCTCAAGGGTAATAACTACCCCGTAAGTGTTTGCGTAAATGGAGAATGTGGTAGGTGGAAAAAAGAGGAGCGCACTATAGTGAAAGTCAGCAACGATTTTTTTTTTTTTTTTATCATATGATAAGTCTTTGCATTGTTACGCGGAGGTTGGGCTGAGGTGGCCTCCCCGTCACTCTTCCACGGTTTATTTCAACCCGGCTTCGTCCCCACCCGGCTTCGTCCCCACCCGGCTTCGTCCCCACCCAGCTTCGTCTCCACCCAGCTTCGTCTCCACCCAGCTTCGTCTCCACCCGGCTTCATCTCCACCCAGCTTCGTCTCCACCCGGCTTCATCTCCACCCGGCTTCATCTCCACCCGGCTTCATCTCCACCCGGCTTCATCTCCACCCGGCTTCGTTTCTACCCCGATTTACTGCTCCCCCCCCGTAGGAACCATCTCCATCAGCTGCAACAACGGCAACTTGCAGTTCCACAAGATCGGTAAAGATGGCTCCAACAAAATAACCCTGAGCAAAAAGCTAGACGAGGTATACAGCTGCATAGCCATAAACGAAGAGGCAACACATCTAGCAGCGGTGAGCGAACTATACTCAACGCTAAGAATTTTTAAAATAGGAAAAGTGGAACAAAGTATCAAAAACATTTCTCTATCACTGGAAGGGAAAAAGGAATTGCACAAGAAAGACGTGAAATTTCTGTACATTCATAAAAGCTCTTTTATAATTACGGGATCGGAGTTAGATGAGACGGAGGTAAAAATCTGGGACATGAAGGGAGACCTTTTAAAAGTGGTGAGCATCAAACAGGTTTATAATTACGACTATGCTGTATCGAAGATGGCTAGGTATGCGCTCGAAGTGTTCCCGAATTGGGCCACAAGCGGGGGGACAACATTTGAAACCCACTTTGTTTGTGTGTCCCTTCTCTTAGGCAATGTATTTCACCTGCCTCCTGCCACCCTGCAGATTCTTCGGAGTCGCTTGCTGGTCCCCGGACATCAAAATATTTGAGATAAAGGAGAAGGAAAACAACTTTCACAGCATCGACAAGGTCATGGATTTAAAAACCAGTTCGGGCACCAAATGTGTGTGCTTCAGCCACGACGAGGAGAAAGCATTCCTAATTGATAAAAATGGAATTCTCGCCGCGTACAATTTGAACGTGCGCTATAAGGTAAAAGGAAGCATTTCTGTGCATGCACGTGTGCGCGAGTATCTTACTTCCACCTGCACATGTACATGCGCGCGTGTCCCTCCCCGCCACTGCCACGTAATTCTTTCCACTCTCCTTGCAGCTCCAAGAGGAGTCCAAAATTTTGTACAAAAAGGATCTGAAGGAATACCATTTGGAAGATTTCTCCAGAATGTGTAAGGCCACCTCCCCCTACTACTACCACCACCACCTATGTGTCCCCCGCGTTTTACAGTTATATCACCTTTTTTTCTAATAAAATAATTATTTACCCATTTTTCGCTCTAGGCCTATCGGGTGACTCCAACGACATCATCGCAACTTCTGGGTGCGATATGTTAATTCTGAAGCAGGAGGATTTACAGGTGCGCCTTGTTCGTGTTAGCCCGTGTGGGAACGAGCATGGTCACAAGTTGCGGTGCGCCATTTGAGAAAGTGCACACGCCGTGGGGCGTGAAAAATAATTACCACAAAAAGTGTTACTCATGCATGTACGCCCTCCTCATTATTTAGCTTGTAAACAAAATAATGAATGCCCATCAGGGTGCGATATTTGGACTCCTCCCCATGCCAGGCACATCCCGTTTTGTTACATGGGCGGTAAGTTGAGAGCTTGAGCTCCAGCTCGAGCACGACGCAGAGGGCGGAGACGGAGTGTCAACAAACGCATATGCTCATGTGGCATATTCGTGTATACGTTTACACTACACGTATGCGTTCTTATGCTGAACCGCGAAGGAAAGGGTCATATTTACAGCTTAAGTAAAACGTGAGTGGTACACTTCTTGCCTGCGCGCGGGGAACGGTTACATACCCATATTTACCACTCACTGCCTGTTTTTTTTTTTTCCTCCTTTCTGCATCAGAATGATGGCACTGTTAAGCTATGGGATACCTCCAAAAAATAACGCACACAACGCAAAGGAGGAAAAAGAAGAAAAAAAAAAAACATGTTGCCCGCTGTGGCCTGTTTAAACGTATTTTTTCTCGTGTGGTTCATTTTTACATTGTTGAAAAATAGACTGAGCTATAATACAAGAGAAAGACAAAATGGTCCTGTCGAAATTGGAGTGGTCCTGGGCTCCGGAGGTCACACATTCGAGATGTTACAGATATTGAAGCTCATCGAAGATGGCAACATAAGTTTCCACTTTTTTTACGCAAATAATGACCCATTAAGTAGGGAAAAGGCAGAAAATGCTTTAAAGGAATATAAAAAGGATTTCTTTGCAATTCCAAGATGCCGAAATGTTGGTGAGTCGTACATACGCTCGGTAATAAAACTATTTCTTGCATTCATTTATTGTTTATTTTTAACACACAGAATGAACAACATGAACGTGTTGATGATGAATGGCCCAGGAACATGTCTGCCTGTTGCATTTTCCCTTCTATTCAGAAAATATATTTTTTTTAAAAAAATAAAAATTGTTTATTTGGAAAGTGTTTGTAGAATATATTCCCTCTCCCTGACTGGGAAAATTTTGTATAATTTTTCTGATTTGTTTGTTGTTTTTTCCGAACATTTGCAGAAAAGGCACAAGAAGGCCAAGTATTATGGCTACTTGTTCTGACGCAGTTTCGCTGGCCAGGCTGGTCTCGCCACTTGGCGCGTGTTTATTCGCACTTTATCGCGTGTATATTTGCCCTTCCCACCAGTGTCACCACTGCAAGTGCTGTCGCCATCACCTGTGGGCATATATGTTGCATGTCACTGCGGACTGACAACCCTTACAACTGTGGGATGAAATTCTCCTTTTTTTTGTGTGTGTATTTCCCCCACTGCTGTGTCTTCCTTCTTTTTTTTTTTTTATTAATTAAAATATTTCTCGCACTTTTTGAGGAATACATAAAAAGGAAGCAGAACCCTTTGTGTTTTTTTTTTTTTTTTTTAAAGTGTTAGTAAATTTTATGTAGTACAAAAAAAGGAAAGTAACTTTTTGCATGAAGGGGTCTTCTCCAGCTTAATTGAATACCATGTGGAACTGCTCATCAGGGGATTGGTAAAAATAAGGTGGGTGAAACGCACACATGTCAGTGTACAACCATTTTGACACGTACAGAAAGGCAGGGAACAGTGTGTTGTGTGTGTTTGTTTATATGCTTTTTCCAACGTAAAATTAAATTTACTCTTATGATTGGTGTTTTAAAATATGGTGGAGGTGATGCACATGTACAAACGTCCAAGTGAGTTTCAGTTCTTTCCACGAAATATTCGCCTCTATACGCAAAGCACAATATATTAGAAAAATTGTTTGAAGAACTGCACATATATATTTTCCCATTCTATTGCGTCCGTGCCACGTTATTCTCAAACTTGGATGCGTTAAAAAAAGGAAAAAAAAAGGGCTGCCGTTAAAATGATTAGGCTAACAAGTGTTCATTACCCTTGTATAGGTAGCTCCTGCTGTTCGTTTTTTTTTTTTCTTCTTTTTTCTTCACGTGTACCATATGTAAATCATTCCTTACGCGTTCCATCACAGAGGCTGTAAAATACATTTTTTGTCAAATCGTGGCGAATATATTTTAGCGTTTGCTTCCTATCAGTACACATTTTTTGCTTTTTAAATGTGACGTTTGTAGTAGTACCCCTGTTTGGGGACATAACTTATTCACCACGTTCTGGGTTTAAAACGTTTTAACTATCTTTTTTTCCTTTCCTTTTTTTTTTTTTTTTTCTCCCTTGCTGTTCAGGTAAAAAAGTATGACAATTTTTTAGCTTCATTCATGACATTTTTTGGCTTCTTATGAGCAAACCCTCGCAACACCTCAGAAGTTCCCACCTTTTGACATCCGAAGGAAAGCGGCGTCTTCGCGGAATGAAGGAACAACGTAGTTCAGAATAAGGCAAACAAAGGGGATAATCACCCGCACCTTTGAGACAGCCTAAATAGTCACAACTGCGCTCGTTTTAAGCAGGTAGAGCTTCGCACAAAATAGGCATCATTTGTAACTGCCCTAGCATATCCGCACGGACAGACAGGGTACCAATTTTGGCCATTTTGAAAGCGCCCCCGGGGGGAAGGTATTCATATGCACAGATATACATGCATATGTACACACCTATTTACATACCGAGGTAGGAAAAGGCGGTGTGACACAGTTTACCCTTGTTCGAGGAGACCCTCTTGCGTATGCTTACAGAGGACGTAACAATAACAATTAAAATGTGTTGTGGAAAAAAGAAAGGGGAAAAGTTGCCACAAATTTCACGAAAAATGACATGGGAAAAAGAACAAAATGGGAATATCGTTACTTAAAAACAAGTAGAGGGGTGTATATAGGAGGCATAAAAAATAAGAAGAAAAACGGATGGGGAATCGCAATTAACAACAATGGAAACAAATACGAGGGGCTGTTCCAGAACGACCAGAAACATCTGGTTGGGTCAGAGCTTCTCTGCTGTTTGCACAGCCATAGCTACAAACAGAGTGGAAAAAATGCTGACCAGAACAGCGAAGACGAATTCGAAAAGGGAAATATCTGCCTTCATGATAATAGATATATATATATAGGGGCGTACGAAGAAGGGAAAAAACATGGGAATGGAATTCTAATTGACTACAACACGTATGCTATGTACAGCTGCATATTTCTGAGGAACGAAATAATATATAAAGATATTTTATTTTCCGCCGTTAATAATTTTCCGCTCCAATGTGACAAGTACAGATTGGCTGCGCTTTTTCAGGAGAAAGGAATGGACAAGGGGGGGACGCACAAGGCGCCTCCGCGCAGAATAGATAGGATCAAAATGGAGGGAGAAGCCAAAGGGTGTGAATATGACGATAACGCAGCGGATGGGGGTTGCCTTGACGGAGGCGCTCCTGAAAAAGAAAGCCCCGCTCAGGAAGAAGGCCCCACCAGTGGAAATTCAGAACAGACTGAACAGAGCAAAAGAGAGCGAGACATGCACTCCTTCATAGAGAACCAGTACAAGTACAACATTTTCAGCTACGTCCACTTTTACCAACAGTTAGTGAAAAAAATAAAGAGAGAAAATTCAAGCGAGCTTTTTTCCCATTCTGCACATAAAAAGGAAGTACACATTGGGGAGAGCAAAGGGGAGAATTTCCCAAAAAGTACGTTAAAAAGCGAACAGCAGAAAAAAGACAGGAACGAGTTTTGCCCTAATCATAGGAAGAGCAAACTCCCATGTCGCACGTCTGCACGGAATGGCTCAATTGACAAACCACCCAGTGAGGAGCGCGAAAAGGAACAAACTGATAAAATTCTCATTAAAAACATTCACAACAAGATTGAACATTTCGCAATGGAGAAGATGCTGATGGAACCTCTTGGAAAAATCAAATGGGTAAATGATATCTCCAATGAAGAGGCTGTGGAGGGCATCTTTTACCCCCCAAATGAGGAGACTACGCGTGATACAGAGAAAGGTAGGTTGGAGACCTATGGGGGGAGTGTAACTCGTGATGGTAGTGGATGCAGCAATAACTTCGCGCATGTCAGTGGCCGAGGAGTTATTCTCGAAACGGAGTTGCTTGAAAAGAGGGAGGAATTGTCCAATGATGGGGATCGTGCCATGTGTAGAGGCGCAATTTTTAGGAGCACACTGGGTCATAAGTTTCCAGACTCGGCCACTGCCAAGGATGGCATTTTCGTGATGAGAGAGACGGAAAAAGCAAATGAGGAATACGTCGTGGGGAAGGGGGGGCACATCCTCGGGAAGGAAAACGCCGGTGGTATTGCGGCTGAAGGGAAACTCTGTAACGGCGAATTCAGCCAGGAGGGTATGGAAACTCTCACCGTCGTGAGAAACATGGAAAGCGAGGATTCCGTGGGAGGGGGTGGCGAGAGCCACCAGAGCGGCGGTAGTAATGGCATCAATGGCAGCCGTGTAAGCAGTAGCATCAATGAAAGAAGTGGAAGCGGCGTGAACGGTGGCTCCGATAAGAGGAGTTCTCTGAGAGGGAGCCCCGAGATAGAGACAACTGCACATCGCGCGAGGAAGGTTAGCCACAAAGCGGGTAAACGTAATAGTAACCCATTTTTGAAGCAAACGAGTGATGATCAGCTGAGCAAAGAAATAGAAAGTCTTCTTCCAAGATGGTTAAGGAAGAAAGAAAAAAAAAGGTGCCTGTCATATGCACAGAACTGTGTATACTGGGATGTATTTGAATTAAATTTTTTTTTCTTCTTTGTGGGAGTTCCAAAAAAGGCGATAGAAATTTTCGTACGAAATGAGATGGACGGGTACTGCCTAAAATATATGGAGGAGAAGTTATTAAAACGTATGGGCCTACACGATAGGGTAGTAAAAAAGTACGTCACCCTATGTGTGCAGTTTCTTCTGCGATTGAGAGAAAAGTATAAATACAGAAAAAGGAGCAAGAGAGGAAATGGCAACGTCCAAGAGGAGGCATTCGTTCTGAAGAGAAACAAATTGCACTACCTAAATTTGGTAGGCAGGGGGGGGTATAGCAATGTGTACAGATGCATATATGGAGATAAACTACTGACATTTAGTGATGATTATTTTTGCATGAAATATTCAGCTAACAATATAGCGTTAAAAATATGTAATAATAACAAGTATAGGTACGAGTTTTGCTCCGAAATGGATATTTTGTCGACCTTAAGGCACCCTAACGTTTCCCTTTTTCTAGGTGCACTAAAATCCCCCCAAGGAATAGCTCTAGAATATATAAACGGTGGAAGCATATTTGACCTAATACATAAACGTAGAGTAAAAATAAAATTAAGAGACATCATGAAAATGGCAAAAGACATTGCTGCCTTTATGTCCTTTCTCCACTATAAGGGTATTCTACATTGCGATTTAAAATCATCAAACATTCTGCTGTCCATGTCGGGGCAAATCAAAATCTGTGATTTTGGATTATCGGTACAGAACTTTACTCAAAAGCCGAGGTTTCTTGGAATTGTCGGTACCTACCAGTGGACAGCTCCAGAGATTTTAAGAGGGGAAGGATACACTCCACAGGCGGACGTATACTCCTTTGGAGTCATTTTGTGGGAAATGCTACATAGAGAGATCCCATTTCGCGAACTGAAGCATCCCTTGGATATTATTGCATGCGTTGGATATGGCAGAAAGGAGCTAACCATCAGCAGAGCCATCCCACCCCCCGTGAGGTACATTCTGAAGAGCTGCCTGCATAGAAATAGGCAGAAGCGTAAATCCTTTTTTTTCTGGTCGGAGTACTTGGACATGTTCCGCGGGATGTGAGTCCTGGGGAGCGGCGATTTGTCAGTTGGGTTTATCAGTGCGGTCGATCAGTGCGATTGATCAGTGCGATTGATCAGTGTATCTCCCGTGCGTGTCGCGCAGGTGTCTGCGCCACCGTGTTAGCACATTTTTAAGGGTCCCCTTTTTGTTTTCGTTCTTTTTTAAGTGTCCTATAATGCCGAATGGCGTTTTATTTATTTATTTCGTTATTTCTTTTTTTTTTAATCCCCCGTTGCTGCTATTCCTGCGCGGATGTACACCGTTCGCAAAAACGAATGGGAACAAGGGCCCAGGTGGCCGCCCCCAATGGGTATTCAAAGTTGTTAAGCAAACCCGACGGCTCCTCCCACCTGGTACAATTTTCAGCCCAAAGATGGACACGCAAGAGATGGTAATACATGGGTTATGTTGGGACGCGGCGTCAATGAAGGCATCGGCTGAGGGGGGGTAACTTCGCTGCGCTGAACTGTGAGGTGTGTTGGGGGGTGGTGTTGAGTGGCTCTGTTGGGTGGCGGGTTCACCCTTACCTATACAATCCACGTGTCCTGGTGGGAACGCTGATCCCCTAAGGAACGTTGCACTGGAGAGGCGGAAAATAAACACATACGTATGGCATATATTAATGCATAAAGGTATGGCAAGCTCATGTAGGAGTAGAGCGAAATAACCCATGGGGGGCAAAAGTGTGTTAGGAAGAAGGTCAAGTTTGGGGTTCCTCGAGGAGGGGAAAGCAGAAAAAACTGAGATAAATGAACGACCGACCGTGCACCTCTTTTGACCTCTTTTTTTTTTTTTAACAAAAATGGAAAGATAGGATAAATAGAATCGCAGATCGGAAAGAAGAAGTTCCTTTCTTCTCCAAGGCTCCAAATTGAACCCCCGCCCTCTAACCCATTTTTCTCCCACGGGGAAGTGAAAATACCCGCACGGAAAGAAAAGTGCGCGTGCTTCTTCTGTACGTGCTGACTACGAGTAGCGAACTTTTACGAGCGCAAAATGGTTTTAAAAGAATAGATGTATATTTGTGCAATTCTTTTTTTTTTTTTACCCAGTTGCGTGACGCTTAAAAAGGTTTCCTCTTTTTTTGTTTTTTTTTTTTTTTTTTTTTTTTTTGCCTTTCTGCTGCTTCCTCTCCCTAGGGAAGAATAAGTAACGAATAAGAATAAGAACAGCAAGTTGGCAAGTTTTCAAATTAGCAAGTTTGAAAGGCGGCCCCCTTTTCTTGTTGTGGCCATCTACGTGAAGATAGGCGTGGCGATATGTTTGAACCCATGCGCAGGGGAAAGTTCGTCAGCATGTAGAAAAGTTGGTCATCGTGCAGGGAAGCTGCTCACCCCGTAGGTACACTGCTCCACCGCGGGAAAGAGGTCCAGGTGACACACAACTTGCGTCGCTAACTTGTGCGCCTAGGAGATTTAACGCAAAGCCTACCGCGACGCAGTGATAGAAGCAAAGCTAAGGTGTTAAGGTGTTATATCTCGGCTGCTCCCCATCGGTTGGTCGTTTGGCCCCACGTAAAAAAAGCACTCTTTTTCCAATCAAAAGGGAGGAGAAGACCCCTCTTTTTCCCCACTCCCCCCCCAAAAAGAAGAAAACAAAATGGACATCCAAGTAGACGACGCAATGATACAAAAGGCCAAGGCGCTCCAACAAGCCAACGAAGAAGAGATAAAAGTGAAAAAGTTAAAACCCCAATCGGAGGGATTACTAAGCCCGAAATGCAATCTGCTTGAGGTGACGGATAAGAGTTGTAGGAGTAGAGTACGAATCTGTAACGTGTTGAATGTGCCCAAAAGTGAAACTTCATTTAATGATCCCACGAGGAAAAATGAATATATAGATAAGATAATCACCGTGTGTGGTTGGAGTAAGGCAGTGAGGAAGCAGGGAGGAGGTAGGTTCTGTTTTGTGAACCTAAATGATGGTTCTTGCCATTTAAATTTGCAAGTTGTTGTCGACCAATCTATAGAAAACTACGAAAAATTGCTAAAGTGTGGAGTTGGGTGCTGTTTCCGATTCACCGGAAAGTTAATAATTTCCCCTGTACAGAATGAGGAGAAAAAAGGACTCTTAAGGGAAAATGTTGAACTGACATTGAAGGATAACTCCATTCACAACTTTGAGATCTATGGAGAGAATTTAGATCCTCACAAGTATCCTCTTTCGAAGAAGAACCATGGAAAAGAGTTTTTACGCGAAGTAGCTCACTTGAGACCACGAAGTTACTTCATTAGCTCAGTTATTAGAATTCGAAACGCTCTTGCGATTGCTACTCATTTGTTTTTCCAGAGCAGGGGTTTTCTCTACATTCATACCCCGTTGATTACTACTTCTGATTGTGAGGGCGGTGGGGAGATGTTTACGGTGACGACGCTCTTGGGGGAGGACGCTGATTATGGTGCCATTCCGCGGGTGAAGAGGCCGACCAAGGGGGGGAAGAAGAGGGAGGACGCGCAGGGTAGCGGCAATGCCGATGGGGGTGGCAGCGAAAATGCAGGTGGACGTGGCAATACGGATGGGAGTGACATTCCTAATGAACGTGGCAGTGCTGATGCTCGTGTGGCACCTCCCCCACACTACCTGATCGACTATAAGAAGGACTTCTTCAGCAAGCAGGCATTCCTCACGGTGAGCGGCCAGTTGTCTCTAGAAAATCTCTGCTCCTCCATGGGAGATGTCTACACCTTCGGACCCACTTTCCGAGCGGAAAATTCACACACCTCCAGACATCTAGCAGAATTCTGGATGATAGAACCAGAGATAGCCTTTGCAGATCTATACGACAATATGGAGTTGGCCGAGTCATACATCAAATACTGCATCGGGTATGTTCTCAGTAACCACTTCGATGACATATACTACTTTGAGGAGAATGTAGAGAAGGGTCTAATCAGTCGGCTCAGAAATGTATTGAATGAAGCCTTTGCGAAGATAACGTACACAAATGTAATAGACCTTCTGTTGCCCTACTCGGATAAGTTTGACGTGCCGGTTAAGTGGGGAATGGACTTACAGTCAGAACATGAAAGGTTCGTAGCGGAACAGATTTTTAAAAAACCCGTCATTGTGTATAACTACCCAAAGGATTTGAAAGCATTTTATATGAAATTAAATGACGATCAGAAGACAGTTGCCGCTATGGATGTATTGGTCCCAAAAATTGGCGAAGTTATTGGTGGGTCTCAAAGAGAGGACAATTTGGAACTGCTAGACAAGATGATTATTGAGAAGAAGCTAAACATGGAGAGCTACTGGTGGTACCGGCAGTTGCGCAAATTCGGTTCTCACCCACACGCCGGCTTCGGCCTGGGGTTCGAGCGCCTAATTATGCTCGTCACTGGGGTGGACAACATTAAGGACACCATTCCGTTTCCGCGCTACCCGGGCCACGCGGAGTTCTGACGGAGAGGCGATCAAGCGGGGAGCCGATCAAGCGGGGGGCCGATCAAACGTTAGACCCCTACGACGCCAGCCAAGTGCCTTTTAACTGCATCCCCCCCCGATGAGTCGCTTCCCGTTCACTGCGTGTCCGCGAAAAAGATAGGCGCATCGGCGGGAGTCAACTTGTGGACGTCCTTGGCCAGCACGCCCCGCCTGGATCGAGGTTTCCCCTTCTTCCCCTCCCCCCTGGCGTTACTCTCATTCTGCCCGTATATCGCACTTAGCAGTTCTTCATTTTCTCTTTCCATTCTTCCCTGATCCTGCATCATATCGTAAAACACATCACCTTCATCTTCGTCTTTCTCGAAATTCTTCCCATTCTGTGCCAACCTGTCCTCTGGAACGTCGCTTTCCTCCGCGTGCGAAACGGAACTGACTTCTTTACTTATCCTTCGGGAGTATTCATTTGACGTCTCCACCTGCGTTTGTATCGTCTGACTTAGTGACGGCGCACCCAACAAGTTCAGCGTCTCTTGCATATGCCGGGGAAGTGGAGATGATACATATACGACTCGACTGCATGCCGATTGGAACGTCACACTGAAGCAATGCAGGTGTAGCATCAGCTCCTTGTTTTTTCCCACATGGGGTAGCCTCTTCACTAGCAACTGATTGGCTCTCTCCACCTCCCCACCCACATCACGGTAAGGGAAAAACCCATTTTTTCTCAGCTTCTTCCATCTAGAAGCATACTCATTATCGCCTACAATGCAGGTGTATAGCGAGTAAAAAACCAGCGGCTTTATGAATTTTGCGTCTTTTGCTGACGTATGAATTTTGATCAGACTAAACTTATGGGCCTCATACGAAATGGTGTTACTTATCACGTCATAGTTAATCGTCTTCAGGTCTCTCAAATGATCCTGACTGTTTGATGGGATCATTATTCTCGAATTGGGCAGATACTTGAGACCTAACTTGACCTTTACATTCTGTCCGTTCTGCACGTGACCGTAGACTAATGCTAGGAAGGTATTCCCATAGGTGTGATTTTTTATGAATTTATTTTTGCAGATCAGTAGGCACCCCCCCACATGGTTATGCAGCTTGTACAAAACATTTGCGCTTTCATGCTCGTCTAGGTTTAGCCCCTGCAGGCTTTTGATTATGCTCTCCTTTTGGGGGGCTCGCCCGAAGGTGGACACTCCGTAGGCCTTGTCCACCACGAGGTAGTCGTCATCCTGGTACAGCACTCTGCGTGGGGTGAGGCAGGACGAAGTGGAGGTGATGGGAAGGACGAAGTGGCAGTGATGGGCGGTACGAATTGGCCGTGATGGAGGGTGACGGATTGTAGGACGAGGTTACAGACCGCGCCGCTGCAGCGAAGGAGAGGACACTCGAACCACAGACACAGCGCAGTTCTTACAACTTCTTCAAGTCAAGGGTAGACTTGCCCGCTTGGGAAAACCTCCTCTTTAGGAAAAGCATTCCAATTCGACCGTTGATCTGTAGCAGAAATGGAGTGGTGGTGGTTGGGGGTAACAGAGAGGGGCACGGAATGGGTTCCCACAACGAATGGCAACAAAATTAGCGCCACACAGAGGTGAAAAAAGAAAAAAAAGGCTTGCACGTGAGCAATTCATCCGTCTGTTCTAATCCGACCAAGTGGTGGCGTTTGTAGACTCCCCCCCAAATGGGAAGTATGCTAAACGGGAGCAAATGATGATTGTCCTTTTCTTCTTGCGAGTTACTTTTTCGGTTGTCCTTTAGCAAATTTTCGTTTTTTTTTTTTTTTTTTCTGATTGTCCTTTTTTTTTTTTTTTTCTCCTTCTCTTTTTCTTCTCCTTTTTCTTACCATATTTCTCCTTCAGACATGGTTGCTCTAATAATGGCATGGGGAGCCATGTTCTACTGCCACGGGGAAGTGTGCGTACGTCGTCATCCTTTCTCGAGCTCGCAAAAGGGTGTAGATAAGCAAACCCGTTTGTTGCTTCCTCCTGCAGATTGGCAAACTGTGCGAATGGTGACTCATCACGCGGGGGGAATCACTTGGATGGGGAAAATAAAAAAGTAAAAAAAATAAGTAAAAAGCGTAGAATGTGCGAAAAAGCGTAAAAGTAGCCAAAAAGCATAAAATGGATGAGGCCACCCCACCGCGAAAATGCAAAGGTTCCAATCGGCATGGTATGCCAACGGTTTCGAAAAAAAAAAAAAAAAAAAAAAATTGCTACTAATTCCAGTTGCATGCTCCAGCTCCGCATGACTACAAACATAAATAAATTACCGCACACATGAGGAAAAGAAGAAAAAAATATTTTGCGTGATGGCTGCTTCTGCGAGTGTATCATAAGCGTTTGTATACATATAATGCCGCTTCGCGAAAGGTGCCCCGAGGAGGTGCTGACTTATCTGCGCAGACAAACCCGATCGGGGGAGCCACTACACCTACTTGAGAACGTCGCCACATCCTATTGCGGACGCCGCTGGACCTTATTGCGAACACCGCTGGACCAGCTCCCAAGCAGCAGCCACTTTTCCGCGTCGGCTTAAAAATGACACATGGGATGAGGGAAGTCTCTCGCGCGCAGCAGAATCGTCCTCAGTGCTAGTTTACTCCCCCTCACTCTGCGTTCTTCGGGGGGGTGCGGAGTTCGCCCGTGTGTGTCTTCCCCTTTGCATATACACTCGCTGAGCAATTCGCATAGGAACTCGCTGAGTAACTCGCTGCGCCCCCGACCGAGAAACCAAACGATGAAGCGCAACGTCGCCGTGGTTTCGTCCATAGGCATGTACCTGCTGTCCTCCGTGACGTCCGTCTTCGTTAACAAATACGTGCTGATGGAGGGGGCCGTGGACACGGTGCTTCTGATATTTATCCAACACATATCCTGTCTGTTGCCCCTACATATATTTAAAAGCTACTTTATGGGAACCCAGGACAAGGAAGGAGCTCACGAGCACATGGGATCCCTCTATGAAGGACTAAAACACATGTGGTTGATAATCGCCTCCTTTAATTTTACTCTAATATTTGGGAACACATGCTTGAAGTATACGAATATATCTTCTTACCAGTTAGCTAGATCCATGACGTTGCCTTTTAATTTCCTCTTTTCCTATTTTTTTTTTAAGCAAATAAATTTTACCTTCCTCATGACAGTTGCCTGCCTCTTAGTTTCGGCTGGCTTCTTCGTCTTTTCCGTGGACGCCGTCAGCACCAACTTCCAATCGGTTTTGTATGGTTCGATCGCGAGGGTGGCAACATGTCTTATGGTGTAAGCCCCGTCGGTGGGGCGGGTTGCCAAGTTATTCACGGCAACTCTCCTAACGCACCCGCATTCTCTCCACAGCGCTTAACCGAGTCTACCTGTTCCGCCCCCCCCCAACAGGTACCACTGTCTCCATCGTCCAAGCAATCCATCTAAACCTCCTAAAGAAGAAGCTAATGATTTATCAAAACAAAACGGTCTTGCTTTACTACAATATTTTGTACTCCTCCATCATCCTATTTATTTACCTGTCCATAAGAGGAGAGTTTTTCTCCATTTTTCGATGGAGCCATCGCGTTTGTTTTTATCTGGCCTTGTCGTGTGAGCAAAACATAAGGGGAGATAATCCCTAGTGGTGGACCTCGCAATCGGGCGTTCCCACAGAGTCACTATAAAGAAAAAGACTGCCAGAGGTGCTCTCCCTTTTTAACTCAGCCCCTATGCATGTCCCACTTCTCAACTGGAAAACACGCACTGACCTTTCCCCCTCCCCTCTCGCAGGCATTTCGTCCATCTTCGTGACATTCTCCTCCTTCCTCTGCATTCACTACACAGACAACGTCGTCTTTAACATGTTTGGGAATGTCAAATCTACCATGCAGACATTCATAAGTAAATTTTATCACGCGGAGGAGCTAAATGTGTACACACTGGTAGGAATTCTCTTGACGACCCTGGGGTCCTTTCTCTATACCTATTCGAGTGAGTACGCAAGGAAGCAGAAAGTCGGGTGAGCAGGTCGGGGGAGAAGAAGTGGAAAGTGAAAACGGTAAGCCCAATGGAGGGAAATTAAAAAGTGATTCACATATCGAGCTCACCTGTGACTGAAGTAGGAACGAAGCAGAAGAGACGCTAAACCCACCCTCTGATGTGCAAATCAAAACAGGACACGTTGTACCGTGACCTAAATAGCTACACAGATGTATATTTAATTTTACATCTCCACATTTTTTCCTTTTTTGTATTATGGTCTCCATGGAGAAGACCCTTTTCTTTTTTCATTTTTTCTTCGGGTCGATAATTTGCCTTTTATTTTTCGCATGCCCACGGGAAGGCATTCTCTTTTTTGTAGAGCTGCTTGCTACTTTTACATTGCTCTAACAATTTTCACCATTATGGTGTCTCATCCCTCTCCCCGGTCTTTCTACGTGTAGACGTTTCGTAGGCCTCTCGCATGGCGGGGTCTTTTGTATTTTTTTTTTGACGAGCCCCTTTTGAACTCTGGGGGTAACAATGAGAAGGTGAGGGGAGAAACGTTGCAGAAGCACCAGTAAGGCTACGCTGTACTTTTTTTTTGCCAACTTCTCCCTTTGCTTACATTCTTCGCTTCACTCGACTGGGAATGCAAACCAGTGGGGAAGCCTCAGACACAGTGCCCCGGGAGGGGAAAACATAATGCATGTGCTTTTGGTGGTGTCTGGATAATAATACGGGGCAACGCTCCGCTGCATGCAGCCTGAGACATAGTGCTACGTCACGCGCAGTCATGCGAAGCAAGTCGCGACAAATTGCGACCGATAGCGATCAATCGTGATGTTGCCGGATGCAGGGCGCGCCGTGTTAGACTACAGGACGTGACGCATACACTGAATGTAGTGCCGACTGTTTGTGCGCGACACAACAGGCATGTTATTTATGGTACTTTTTTTTTTTTTTTTCACCTTTTGTAAATAAATCCATGCAACTATGTTAAGAGGAAGGACATCCCTGGTACCTCCTTCAGTGTGAAGTTTTCTCCGTTTTAAACACTCGCGTTGGGGGTCATATGCTTACACGTCCGGCACATGTCACTTGCCAGTTGCCTACCGCGCGCATAGGTGCCGCTTGCCGACACGCACAGGTGCCCGCAAGAGCATATGCACCGAATAAGCTCAATGTGAAGCTATACACGAGAACGTGAACACAGCCCCTGCGTTTGGCGTACTCCAGTTGCGAGAGAATTCCACCACGGCAATGCCTTCCAAAACGCGAGACGAAAAAGTCCCACCAAGTGTACGGCACGTGTTTGCTTTTCTTCCTCTCCTTAGTCGCTTCGCGATTAGTCATTAACTGTTTACTCCGCATGTTCGTGTTTTCGCCTTTTGGTATTTTCGTATTTTCGCATTTTCGAATTTTCGTATTTTCTTATTCTCTTATTTTCATTCTTTCCTTCTTTCTTCCTTTCTTTTTTTTTTTTTTCTTTTTTAATGCGTACACTACCGTCTCCTCCATTTTGGTCCCAATTTAACGTCATTTCCCCCCTGGATAATTTCCCCTGTTACCACATAGCTAAGCCCCTGTGTACATTTGGGTACTTTTACACGAGGGCTTTTTGTTCACGCATTTCCAATTGAAGTGATTTTTCTCTCCATCTTGGTTCCTTTCCAGTGAGGTTTTTATACCTGTACATAGCTCTGCTTTTTTTTTTCCCTTTTTTCTACCCCCCGTTGAGGTTGCACCTTAACGAGCTGTGCTTTAGCCTAGGGAAGGAAGTTTTCTTCGATTCGGCCTCTCTCCCTTTCTTTGTTTTTCTGCTTCGGTGTTTATCTGTTTCTTTGTTACTCTATTTCTCCGTTTGTGTTGGGAGGACCGTCCCACAGAGGGAGGGGGGGGGTCGCCTGAGACATCCATCGTGCCTCCCCTCAACCACGTCCGTTTGGTTATCCCCCCGTCTCCGTCACGCCAGCTGCGTACGTCGCCAAGATAGACTGCCTACCCAGCTCGTCCAACGTGTAAATTTGAATCTCCCAATGTGTAAATGTTAATGTAAATAAATATATATATATAGAGAGAGAGGCCGAGGACCTCTCCGCTGCGTGGAAACGTGGATAGATAAATCACCTTGACTAATACAGGCAGTAACGGACACGTACGAGGGGAGGTTGCACAAATTTTGATCTGCACATGAACGGGGAAAGGCCAACGGTGTGTCTATGACACTGAATAACCTTGGTGGTAGGGAGTAGAAAATTCGCATGACCTGTGCATGTAAAAAATGAACTTCCATATGCACATTATTTTTTTTTTTTTTTTTTTTTTGGCTAGTCGCATTTTAACACGCATAGATAAAGTTGTATAATTAACCGTTTTTGAATTGCGATTAGATCGTTATCGTTCTATATATATATTTTTTTTGTGAGAGTATCTAACGAATTAGTGAATAGCCCAAGCTTATGCTCCACTTTTTTTCACGTTGACCAGTCTGAAAGAGGGGAAGAAAAACGCACACGTGAGTATTTCCTGTTTGTGTGTCCGCCGATGCCCGTGTATCTTTATTAAAACGCTGTGCCTCACCCCCCCCTGTAACTCATAAATAAAGTGGGGCCCCCTACTCCACCACGCCAAACACCTTTCACCAACATGTCTGGTGAAAATAACTTTTTCGGTAACCCCTACTCAACGAACGTTAACTATGAGGACGTGTCTGCGCCAAATGAATACGCGGGTGCCTCCCAGGAAGGCGTCTTTTACAAAGGCATGGCGGAGGGGGGGTACAGCTACCATCCGAATGGAAATCTATCGGAGGAGTTCTTGAATCCGAACATGAGCAGTTTTGCAAACGGAGGAATTGGGGTGAACAGCCAGAGCAACCAAGAGGGCTACGGCAGGATGCGTGGTGGATTTGGAGGCAACTACGGAAGCAGCGGTAACTACGGAAGCGGCGGTGACTACGGAAGCGGTGGAAACTACGGAAGCGGCGACAACTATGGAAGAGACGACAACTATGGAAGAGGCGACAACTATGGAAGAGGCAACGACTATGGAAGCGGCTACATGAACGAGGCAAGCAACTTCCAAGACAGGCCAGGAGCAAGCCACACGGGCGTGAATTCCGCTAACAATTTGGCCTACGCAAACAGAATGGGAAGGATGAACGGTATGAACGGAATGGGAAACTTGAACGCGGGGAGCATGGATAGTATGCGCATGCTGAACAATCTGGGAGGAGGCGAGAACCTCCACAACTCACTAAAAGACATGGGTTCGCTGAACAGAATGGAAAATGTGTTCATGAAGAAAAATGTAAAAAGGGGCATCCAGGGGGGCTACGAAAATGAGAAGGAAGCAGCTAGCTTTAATCACCTCGGCGGCATGCACAACTCGTACGGTGGTATGACCACCGTAGGTGTCCCTGGGAAACGCGCTAAAGGGAGAACGACGAATGTGAAAACCCATCCCAGTAATTTGAAGAATGCCAATTGGTATGCTAAGCAGAGGAGTTTGGAAAATGTGAACAGCGTGGGTGGAGAAGGGGGGAGTGCTCCCGGGGATCCAGGTGGTCCCACTGAAGATGTGCAGAAGAGGCTGACCAACCACGTGAACACACCCCAAAACAGGGGAAGTGTAAACAGTGGTGATCGCCCAAATGGCATCGCAGGATTGAGCAGTGTGAGCAGCTTCGACAACATAGATAAACAGCCCGGAATGACCCACGCGAGCAGCGAGCTAAATTCGATTAATAGCAGAAATGATATGGCCAGAGCAAATAACTACCACACGCTAAGTAGAAACAACACGTATGGTAATTACCGCATGGGTGACTATGCGACGGATAGGAGCATCATTCGAAACCATAATGCCATGCAGCAAGGGTACACTTCCAGCGGCAACTACCTAGAGGGCCAAAAGGCCAACAGGGCAACAAGCCCTCACAATCTCAACAACTCATTTGGAAACCAGGGAACCAGTTACCTAGGTAGTAACAACACACCGAACAACTCCTATATAAAAGGAAACATATGGAGTAAAATGAAGAACACCGTAAAGAGTACCTTTAACATCTTCGGCAAGTCGTCAGATGAGACCTTCAATAAGGAGGAGCAAGTGGCATACAGCCCCGAGGGAAGCGGTCCCTATGCAATTGGAGGCAGCGTTCGTGGTGGACGTGGCGGTGAAATTAGAGGCGATCTTCAGGGGGGCCAAAGGAGGAATCTCTCTCCGAATGAGTATCCCTATGATCGCCCCCCCTTCAACCATCAGTACAGCGGAGAGGCCGAGAAATTAGCGCTCCAGGGAAGCAAAGGTGCGCAGAATGACCACAACAGCATTGTAAGGAATAGCCAAATGGTGGACCCCAGTTTGCCGTATGGCGGCAACAGCGGGGCATTTTTTTACGAAAACCAGTATGCTGACCAGCGTTCCGCATGGGGAGGGGACTACCACGCGGGGCCTGTGTATCATAGGAGTGACTTCGAAGGAGGCTCCGCATTTGGGGTTGGCGGCGCAGCCGGTGCACGCGGCGAAGGCGGCTTCGATAACTCCTACGGTAACGACTCCAGCTTCTATGGCAACGGTGGCGCCAGCTTCTACGGTAACAACAGCAGGCACATCCATGACGAGCCATCCACGCATCAGGGGACACTGCACCCGCAGATGTACCACGATGCAGCCAACAGTAACAACTGTCCCCAGCAGGTGAAGAACAAAACCAGATCGAGAAAAGGAAAGAACAGCGGCCCAAAGGGGGAGGAGAAAAGAACAGACACCAAGGTGCAGGAAAAGAAGGCCCCAGTGAAAAGTCCCAAGAGGACCAGAACGAACAGCATAAAGAATGAAAGAGCACTCAGCAGTAGAATGAGTGCGAGCGTGGGATTGGGCCTTGGCAGCAATATCAGCATGGGTGCCATCATTAACACCGATGCGTACTCCAATGCGAACAACGTGAGTCGCAACTACAACGATGCTAATTATTTCCACCATGGTAGTTCCCACGCAGTTACGCTAAACCTGTCGAATGGCGGGAATTTGGGTAACTTCGAGGGGGTAGCTGCTGTGAGCGGACATATGACTGAAAAGGTTGAGGATGCCCCGGGGGTAGGAACCGCTCCGTATGATGCAACCGCTCAGCATGTTTCGGGCCAGCCGTTCCAGGGAAACAAGCAACTGCAGGCGCAGCATCCAGCTAACCACAAACGCAAGTCCGTCCAAACCAAGTGTAACTTCAAACTGAACAAGGATATAGTGGAAATGATTCTGCGAAACAATAAGTATTCCATAGGAAAAAGCACAAACGATAGCTTAAGTAATCCCTATACGAACTTCTTGATGAATGTAAGTACCTCCTATTTGAAGAGAAAATCACAGGAACGTAATAATGGAACGGACAGCAAATCGGATAGTCCTAACCACCCCCCTGTGGTGGAAAAAGATGTAGAAGGTTATTCATCCAAAGTGGATAATCTGGAGAGGGTAAATCATATGGCGGGGTTAACTCCTCCCAGTAGGACACCTGAAGAAAACTTTTCCCGAGGATACACACAGCAGAGAGGTGAAACAGATGCATATGTACCGTACAAAGGAGTCACAAGTGAAACGAAAGTAGAAAAAATAAGGAAGGAGCTGCAGGAGGAACACCAACTGGGTGGAGCACAGGGAGGGGCAGGGGCAGAGGCAAATGGAGGGGGAGGAGGAGTCCCCTTGAAGAGAAAAGGAATTCGAGGAAGAAAAAAAAAAATACAAAGCGACCATGCAGATGAAGGAAACCTATTACATGAAGGCGTAAAAGTGGAACAGAAGGAAGTCAAGCGGAAAGGTAGGAAGAGGAAAATGTCTGTAGAATCAGCTAGCCAAAATAAGGAGGAAAAGGAATTGGAGAAAAAAGACACAAACAAGTGTGTAAAGAGCATTCCAGTGGAAGAACCCATCCTCCACAATATAAAAGAAGAGGGGACAAAAATTAAAAACGACGAAGTAGCATTGTGTTTCAAAAGACCAAAGGGGGAAGCTCCATTTGGAGAAAACAAGAATGACTCTCCTGCACATTTCACAAGCAACGTTTTTCAAATCCTGAATTATAAGCTCAACAAATTCAATGGGAAAAATTGTCTCAACAGCCACGCGGAGGTGACTGTTCTGCTTAACAACTTCCTGAACGTGGTGAGGATAATAAATCATCACAGGAAGATGTTGCATGGGGTGTACGGTCACCGGTTTAAGGTCCCTAGTGAGACTTGCTTGAGGACCTACTTCGAAGCGAAGTTTCCTTTTATACAATGCTACCGGAATAGGCTCTACGAGCTGGCGGACGGGGGGGAGGAAGAGGAGGAGGAGGATGGAGGGGAAGAGGAAAAGGATGATGGGGGGGAAGAGGAAAAGGATGATGGAGGGGAAGAGAATGTCCTAAAAGTAAAAGCGAAAGAAGCAGGAGCAAACGTCGGAGAGGAAGCCGCAGCCGCAGCCCATTCGCGGGTGGCGGACGAAGCGGGGCCACCGCTCACAGGAGGCACTTCATCTAATGGGCCACCGTTCACCGCAGGCACTGCGTCTAATGGGCCACTTCTCACCGCAGCTAATTCACCTTGTGACGACCTACCCACTGCCGTGTTCACCTCGCAGGGGCTCCTCCCAAACAATGGTGTCCCCCTTCCTGCAGACAGAACACAAATTGGGGAGAGCTGCTGTGGTGGGCTGCCCCCCCCTCTGGTTAACCACGAAAAGGTCAGCGAAAGGTCAGATACGGTTAAGGAGCAATTCTGTCCCCTCTCAAGTTCGGAAATTCCCCATCGAGGCAACGACGAAGAAGGGGGTGACCCAAGCGAAACATCCCAAAGAACAGTCCAAGTAGAACCCCTCACTGATCATTTGAACGGAGTCAAGGAAACAATAACGAATGGATTACACTTCTCACCAATTAATAATCCCCCGACTGGTTATGTACCCGTGAAGGAACAGTGTAGCAGTGGGGCCGACGGAATAAGTGTGTCGAGATGGGTCCTACCTAGTGATAATCGCGGCGATAGTTATGCGCTTGGCATCGACGACCCCTCCGCGTACGTACTGTCGAACTCGGTTACCTACACAATGTTGAATCCAGGCGGCTACATGGGAAGCTACCCCTCCCCCTTCCCTTGTGAGGAGTACCAAATGTATGGCGCGCTGCCAAATGGACACACCCAGAACAACGCCACACACCATTTCAACCCCCACGTGAATTCAGGGAATAAGTTGAATGGAGATTCCTTCGGGTGAGAGGGAGAAGCGGTTTTATATGTATCGATGAAGCGGGGCGAAGGGGGTAAGACGAGGGTGCACCCTTGGAAAATGTTAAAAAAAAAAAAAAAAAGTTAGCCTGAACCGTGCGCAGATTGCGCTGTGATAGTAAGAAGCAGGACAATAGTCCCACCCGTTCAAACACATGACGGATGAGAAGTGCGTCCACGCCTCATTCCCCCCCTCCTAGAGCCTACACATTTTTAAGGAGGAAAAATTCGTAGTGGTCGTCCCAAGTGTGAAAGAAGCAGTTCGGCTTAAGCGCCCTTGAAAAGAAGAAAAAAAAAAACAGAAAAGAGAAGCGAAACTAACCCAGCTGGGGTGCGTTCATCATTTTAGAAAATGACCCACCGTTTCTGCCCTTTTATTTGATGTAAAAAGGCGTTTCATTGTTTAACGAAAAAAAAAGAGGAAAAAAAAAGATAAAAAAATAGGAAAAAAACTCCACGTTACGTCTGTACAGGGTATGTGCTACTACGACGCTGAGTGCACAGCCTGAGGAGAGGAAGGGTGAAGGGAACTGCGCGTATTCACAAGAAAAAGTACACATGAAAAAACCATCCACCTGTAGTAGACAGAGCTCACGTGCAACCGTATGGCATATGAGGTATGGCGACATGGCCGACGCTTGCTGAAGTACGCACAGTTGTAAAATTGGAGGGGGGAAAAATTCAGAGAGGAAAGATTCGCATATGTGTGGGAAGAGCCCCAGGGGAATGTATCCGCGTTATGGCTTTGCGGACGTCTGTACATGTGCACGTGCGCTCGTCCAACTCCATTTCTCTCTGCAAAAAAGGGGCCAACAGGCCAACGGGCCAGACGGACATTTATATTTTTTTTTTTTTAAGTAAATTTTTAATTCGAAACATTTTCTTTAAGTGCAAAATGGTTCCCTTGAAACGGCGGCATGGGGTTATCTCCTCCTTAAGGGAACACTGCCGAGGAGGAGAAGCCCCAACAGGGGTGTAGACATACACGCGTGCAAATAGAACACATGTACGTACACAACACACAGAGGCGTATAAAAATCTACTCCGCGCATGGCATTCTTCTTCCATTTTGTGAAAAGAAGAAAAAAACGCCGCTTGCACGTTCCGTCATTCCAATACAATTGTGGCGCCCAGCTCCTCGAACTTCTTTTTCATTTCTTCTGCTTTTTCCGCGGGCACGTCTAAGAGGGGGGGGGGATGATAATGCAGATGAGCTGCAGATGAGCTGCAAATTAGCTGCAAACGGGCTGCAAACGGGCTGCCAATCGGATGCGAACGGAACGCCGCTTAACCAGCGAAGCGAAAAGGGGGGCCTTACTCTTTTGCACATAGAAAGGGGCGCTCTCCACCATGTCCTTTGCCTCCTTCAACCCGACGTTGGTTATTTTGCGAATTTCTTTAATCGTGTTAATTTTATTTTTTACGTCGAAGTTTTCTAACTTTACATTGAATGTCCTTTTGTTGTTTTTTTTCTCCTCCTTCTTTTTTGTCTCTGCCTGTTCATTTTTTTCTGCTGTCCCCAAATTGGGAGTGGCACCCGATGGGATAGAACCCACGGCAGCGACATGACTGGGGAGAGCAGAGTGCATCCCTGGGGGCAGATTTGCGGCTGAGAAACTCCCTGCGCTGAAGAAGCTAGAGGGATGTGGAAACGGGTTCCTGTTAGAAAAAACGGAGTTATTGAATTGTTTGTCTCCGTCCAACTTTTCTTGGCACAGGTCACATAGATCTGCTGCTTCGATTAGGGTTAGGTTAAGAATTTCATCTACAAGCTTTAACACCTTTTTGGATGGCTTCCTTTTCTTTGAGTCGTTTTCTTCAGTGGCTTCCTCGTTTCGGTTGCTTCCGGTTATGTCTTTTATTTTATCAAACACATCGAAGCTGCTGTTTGGGGCATTACTACCACTGCTTCTCCGTGTCTGCAGGGATTTGCTTGTCCAGAGGTCTGCCACACTGAGCGCAGCCGTGAGCGCAGCTGCATGTGCGGCTGCATTTACGTGTGCACCATTTTGGTGCAACCTCGCACTACAAAGGGCGCTTTTTACCAGTCCGTTTTTTTTCATTCTTCCGATTAACTCAGCGGATGTGTGTAGGGTGGTTACACATGGATGGGCAGGCACCTTTCACCAATTGGGACATCATCACCCGTTAGGTCGATATTTCGGGGCTATCTCTTTCCCCGTTGCACCGATTTGCACTCTCCCCCTTCACAAACGAAGCGAGCACTGTTTGCACGTGGAAGAAGTTCCCCTCGGACATGTTTTCACATTATTAGGCGATTCGTGGAATGGCCGCTGAAGTGCATTCGTCCCCGCGGTGGGGTTACTCAGCTGCTTCTGTTTGGGTTGATGAGGCACAGTTGTGGTGGCCCTGCGTGGATGTGTTGACGATGCGCAGTCGTGATGATCACGCGCAGCTGTGGTGGGCAGTCCCTTTTCTCTTTCGACGCAAAGTGCCAATTGGCCTATGTTCGCTGCACCCGTTCGCTTAGGTAGGGGCGTGCATCTGCCTGTATCCCCGGGCATGTGTGTGGTGTGGCAGGCGGATCAGCCAGTGTGCCTCCTTCTCGGCAGATCACCTGAACTCAGCTCAGTCCAGCGAAGTGAGATCCACTTCGCTGGCCGTGAGGTGGGCACTGCTGCTTCTGAAGCGGATTCCCAATGTTTGCTAACTCTGCAGAAGAGCCATACAGATCGGAGTGAACAAATGTGCATTTAGCTTCGTCAACGTTTTTAAGTAGCCATGTAGAGAGGCAGCCATTTTATTGTGTCACCACTTCGCATGTGCTGACATGCAGGAGGAGGTATATCTTTTCAATTTATTAATTTTTTTTTTTTTCTTTTTTTCAGTCAACCCATATCGGGGACACCCTTCATGGAGGGGGTCTAAATAAAATGCCACCCACTGGCCAAAAAAAAAAAAAAAAAAAAAAAAATACTCCCCGTAAAATGTGAATACAAGGGTGAACGTGGAAAGAGGCCAAACCGTGACAATCCTTGCAGAAGTGAGGCAATAAAGAGGAAGGGGAAAACCAGGTGTGATTTTAGAAAAACCTGGCGTAGCATAATATGGAGTGGCTTCTTTTTTTCTTACCCTTATGTACTGTGTATTATCTGGCGGCGTGGTGACCCCCAGGGGGCACCAAGTAGTGAACATAAAAAGAAAGGCGATCGAAACGGACGGAGAGTTTTCCTTTTTCTTTTTTTTCTTTAGAAGAGTTTAAAATAGAAAATAAGTACTACGCGCCGCGCAGAGTGTGCAAAGCGAACGGAAGCAAAGCATCCCTGTTTTAATCACCAGGGTTGCAGTGCGAAGAAGCTCGTGTGAAAGTTGCGAATATCATTTTGCCCCCATGTGCGCTACGAATATATATGCATATTATATATACATGCCCGTGCGTGTGCTTCCGCGAATCGCGCCCAACGGGGTGGTTTTCACGCCTAAGGAGAACCCCCGCGCGAGAAAGAGGGCCCCCCAAAAAAAGAGCGCTTTATGTGTTGAATAGAGTTGAGATTCGGTATGTACGACCCAGTAAGGCTCTGATACTCGCGCGAAGGCAGTCGCGAAAATGTGAAGGGGGCAGTGGAACCATAGCGATCAGTTGAAGAAAAAAGCGCCGGAAAAAGCGGCGCCAGATAAATCAGGCGTCGTATTTTCAAAATGAAATTCATTGTTGCACAAATGCGCATATAAAGTATTTTACCGCGCGTGTATTTATATGCACTGCGTTATATATGTATATAGTTTCAACCTGCCATCCTGCAAGCCTACCAGCTAACCCACGCAGCATTGGTTAGCTGTGGGCCAAGAGGAAGAGCAACGTGCACTTCAAGGCGCAGTGGGGGAGGAAGCCATTTTGACCGCAAAGCGAAAAAATAAAAAAAACTTCAGATGTTATAATTCGTTCATGTTACATCAAAGGGACGAGAAGGAAAAATCCTACCTCCTTCGCTTTTTTCGTCATCTGCCTCTTCGGCGTTATTTGCCTCTACGTCGTTATCTGCACCTTTACTTCACCTCACTTGACCTTCTTTCTTTTTTCTTTTCCCAAAGCATAGATTAGATGGCCCTCCCACGGCATGAAATACATTTGCGCTTTGCCTAACAACATATGTACGACGGAGCTTCGTGGGCGAAGAACGTCCCTTCCGTTTCAAACCAACGCAGTCGCCGCCGCCGCCTCCTCCTCCTCCTCTCATTTTGTTTGTCCCATTTGATACGGCTGCACCGACCATTTTTTGTCGCATAACTGAGTTTGTCGTCGTTCTCCTGTTCCTTCTCCTGTTCCTTCTCCTGTTCCTTCTCCTGTTCCTTCGCCTTTTCCTTTTCTGGCCCGTTTTTTATGTGGCCCACCGGGGCAAGCAGGCCGCACTTATACTATGCTCTGCTGGACAAGGGGGCCCTTCTACCGCTTTATGCAGTTTTTAATTAGCCGCAAAAAAACGAACAGCACTGCGACGCGGTTACCCCGTATACACCCCGAATAAGGAACAAAAAAGAAACGCTATGGATGAAGATCGAGATGCCAACATCGAGCAATGGAAAATCAAGAGGCTCATAAAGAAGCTGGAGAATGCCAAGGGGTAAGGACCGATTCAGAAACCTTTTCACACGTAGTGAAATATCTCGTGCTTCTACATGTGGACCGCGGGTGAGGGGGTATATCCCTGATGTGTTCACTACATCGGGAGTACCTCCTACCCCTCATTATGCTAATCGGGTATAACGCATCTGATGAGTGTTAACTTCTCCTTATTTCCATTATTTTATTAATTTTTCCCTACATCTCTGCTACCCCACCAAAGGAACGGAACCAGCATGATCAGTCTAATCATCAAGAACAAGGATGAAGTGTCTCGAATAAATAAAATGCTCGCGGATGAGCTGGGGACGGCCTCCAATATCAAAAGCAGAGTCAACCGACTCAGTGTGTTGTCTGCCATTACATCCACGCAGCAAAGTGAGAGCGGAATGGTGCACCAAATGGGGTGCTGTGGTGTGTTTGATATGCGTGTGGTATGCCTGTGGAATGCCCGTGCTGCTCATCGTGCCACCGCTAGCACTGGCTAATCACTTGTTGCCGCTTTCTTTCTCCACGCAGAGCTGAAGCTGTACAGCAAGACGCCGCCCAAAGGGCTAGTCGTGTTCTGCGGCACAGTGATAACGGAGGACGGGAAGGAGAAAAAAATGTCTATCGATTTCGAGCCATTCAGGCCAATAAACACAAGTCTGTACCTATGTGACAACAAATTTCATGTGGAAGCTCTAAAGGAGTTGCTCGAAAGTGACGAAAAGTTCGGTTTTATCATTGTCGACGGTAATGGAGCTCTATTTGGCACCATACAGGGGAATACCAGAGAAGTCATAAGGAGATTCACCGTAGATCTGCCTAAGAAACATGGCAGAGGAGGTCAAAGTGCCTTACGTTTTGCTCGTCTGAGATTAGAGAAGAGACACAATTATCTAAGAAAAGTTGCCGAAGTAGCAACATCTGTTTTTATAACAAATGACAAAATCAATGTGTCGGGTATAGTACTCGCAGGAAGTGCTGACTTTAAGAATGACCTCATGCATAGTGACATGTTTGATCAGAGGCTCTTCACCAAGGTTATAAAAATAGTGGATATTTCTTACGGAGGAGATAATGGGTTCAATCAGGCAATTGAGTTAAGCTCTGAGGCGCTCCAGAATGTCAAGTTCATTCAGGAGAAAAAGCTTATTGGTAAGTTTTTTGAAGAAATCGCACAAGACACAGGGAAGGTTGTTTATGGCATTGAAGATACATTGAAGGCTCTGGAGATCGGGGCGGTGGAGTTACTAATCCTGTATGAAGGGTTGGATATAATAAGATTGACGACGAGGAATGCTATTACGAATACGACACGGACGATGCACATTTCGCCTCAGGATGAGAAACAGGAATCGCTATACAAAGAGAACAACGTGGAATTGGAGGTGGTGGAGAAAATCTCCCTTACCGATTGGGTCATAAATAATTACAAGAGGTACGGAGCTTCTCTCGACTTCGTCACCAACAAGTCACAGGAGGGGGCCCAGTTCCAGAAGGGCTTCGGAGGGTTTGGCGGCATGCTCAGGTACAAGCTGGACCTTAATTTGTATGACGAGGATGTGGAGAGCGACGCGGAGCTCTTCTGAGAGGGGACGAAGCGAGAAGAAGCGAATGGAAGCGAGTTGAATCGAGCCGCATACGACGTCGAGGGGTTGTGGCGCGCCTTCCATATCGCCCCCCCCCTGGACACGGATCCTCCCAAACGTTGGCCCGAAAAGTATGGCGGCGAAGATTCCCACGTGAATTTTTCCAAATGTTCTTTTTCTAAATGTTCTTTTTCGAGATGTCTCGCCCCATCGGGATGTCTCCCTCTATGGGGTGTACACCCCGTTCCCCCACGTCCCTTTCCCCTTTGTATGTGCATACGTTTGCTGACCATCGTGTTTTCCTCACCCCCTCCTCTTCTCTATTTGTTTTGATTAGTTTTGTTTCCCATTTTTGCACGCACATGGGCACTCGCACAGGCACCGCCTCTCCACCTTTTGTTTTTCGGCCCATCGGGCAACTCTCCATTGGCCAATCTACCCCATTGGCTAACCTACCCCATCGGGCAACTGCCCCTCTGCCCCTTCACCCCATGCCTATCTGTCCCTCCACGTATGAACCCATTTGTCTTCGCCCCCCCATGTGCCTTACCAACTGGACGTACGTGCCACCATGTGAAATGCGATTTTTTTAATTCATTCGAAAGGAAGTTCCAGAGTGGCACCCCTCGCACCCGCCTGGGGCACCCCATCCTCTTGGGGCACTCCTCTGGGTGGGACAAAATTTCACAGCCGAGAATGCAGTGCGCGATGGAACAGACAAAAAAAAAGGAACAAGTAGAAAAGGAAAGAAGCAAGGAAGAAGTAAAAGGATGAAGCACAGAAGGTGAACGCACAGAAGGTGAACGCACAGAAGCAAGAAACAAAAAGGTGTCCGCAAAAAGATGTCCGCCCAAACGGCCGACGCGTTGCAAACCGGCGGAACTCATCGCGGGATTCACTTCTTATGCATGTTCACGACGTAATTATAGATTAAGGTGCACTTTTTCTTCAAGCCGCTGGTACAGATGTTAGACGGGAGGAGCGTGGCGTTAATGTGAATGAGGTACGAGCAGACGTTGCTTAGGAGAATCTGCTTAAGGCACGAATCTTCGCACGTTTCTTTTAGTTTCTCCAAAATGAAGGCTCCCAGAAAGGCACTCCTCTCAAGGATCTCTCTAAGGATATCATAGTAATTACTTAATTCGATCATTTCTGGAAGGAAGTTAAACATATAATCGTCTTTATAGACCCTCTTTGTATTCATATACTCGTCGATGGATTTGTTGTATTGGACTATTTCTCCGAGATAGTTGGAAGCTTCGCTGTCCGAGTGACTATCCGTTAGGTAGCAGCTGAGGCTGGATTTGGCTGTGCCCCGCGCGTAGTGGACTTTCTCCCTCTTCTTCTCCTTCACGGTGTTCACGATGTCGAGGCAGATGGGCACGTAGGAGAGTCCCGCGTGGATTTTGATCTGCGGAAAGGGGGGTTAAGGAGGAGCGGAGTTAAGAAGCGGCGTTAAGAAGGGGCGTTAAGAAGCGGCATTGAGAAGCAGCTTGTATGATCAGCTGCTTTCACGCTATAGCCGCTTGCCTGATCAGCTGCTTTCACGGAAGCTCCCTGCATGGTAACCGCGTAAGGCAGAGGAGCGGACCTACCGTGCGGATGAGCGTCGTATTTTTGCGGCCGAAGTGCTCAATGATGTTGGTGACAAGCCTAGTCGACTTCAGGAGAAGAATGTAGAGGTGCACCACAAAGTAGGAGTAAGTGAAGTAGGGCGTCTGAATTATGTTGAGCAGGATTGTGTTGTAATTTAGAATGGATTTATAGCAAAGGTAGAGAACCCTCTGTGTGAACAGAGACAAGTCATTCTTCTTCCTCCTATCCTTTTTTTCTTTGTCAGTGGATTCACTACTAGATGCAGTGATTTCGTAAGGGCTGTAGGGATCGATAATGACTTCTTTCTCAAAAATGAACTTCTCCAAGATGCGGTTGATGTAAAACAGGTGGTGCTCCACCCCCTTGCTCATCAACGATATCAGCATGTGATTGATGTTGAAGTTGTTGCAGTAGTAGGAGGTTTTTGTGAGTAGCTCCACGTACAGATATGATTCCTCGAAAATGGCAAGGCAGTTTATTTTTTCGATCTTTAAAAAGATAAAATTGATTCGATCGGACATCTTGCTTATAATGTCCAGCATGGCATCCAGGAAGAACTCCGCTTCGTTCTGCGCTTCGTTCTCCGCTTGACCCGTGTGCTGCGTCTCTTTGTGACCGTCTCTTCGTTCTGCGTGGGTCAGGGGGCGGCCGCTCAGCACGTCGAAGCCGTCCACAAACTTCTCTGCTTCGCGGTCCCCATTTTTTGCGTCTTCTGCGCCGTCCTCTTGGGCTTCCTCTTCGGCTTCCTCTCCCCCCTCCACTGCCTTGCCAGGGGGAACCACTCTGCGCATGAAGAAATCATCCAATTGGAGCCCTCCAAAGGGGTCCGCGTCGAAGTAGAAACCCCCTCCTCCCCCGCGGACATTCTTCACAAAAACGTACAGCATCTTTATTAGCAGAACAATGAGGGAGCACAGTACGATGTGATTCTTGTTTCGGACATACTTCTGCTCGTGATTCAAATAGTAAATGGCACTAAACGTCTTGCTCTTGTCGAATATTGCGTGGTAAATGTCAGGCACGTAGAGAAGTTTGGTGAGGATATCTCCCTTGATGATCTGTAGACACGTGTCTTTATTTAAAACCATGAATGTCAGTGTATTCACGTAAAAGTCGTAGTACTCCGTCGAATCGAGAAAGTTGTTGATTCGGTTCATGTGATCATAGATGTGGTTTTTTAAGAACCCGTAGATGTACTCATTTGCTATGTTGAAAATTTTTTTTTTTTTTTTTTTTTTCTCCCTCAGGCAGTTCAGGAAGAAGTTGTAAAACAGGTCATACACAGTGTTTATCCTATTGTAGAGAAAGTAGAGAAGAATGCGCTCTATTGGGTTCGACTTGGTCACATTGCTGTCTTTGTTCTTCATGTTTTCGTGATGGGCTTCGTAGCATTCATTTAGGATCCCATTCAGCGTCGATACGTACAAGTGGAGGTGCTCCTTATCCCGTTCGGTTGACTTCCCACGGGGGGAATGCACACTACCGATGGGGTCTCGTTCCCGGTGTGTGATGCTGCCTCGTCCTGGGTTTGCTTCCTCCTTGGAGCCAGCCCCCCCATGGAACAGCGACCTGTTCAGCACGACGAAGTGATTGTTGTAAATCCGAATCGTCACGTAGAACAGCTCCAGAAGATTCACAAACAAGCTGATGTTAAAATGGTTCGCGGGGAGCATGCACTTGAGGATCGAGTTGGGCACATGCAAAGCGTTGAAGTTTCTCTGTAAGTATACATTCTTGTGATGGAACTTAAAATTCTGGACGTGCAAAGTGACACATCGGATGAATAGGGAGAGAAGGAGTGGCACATCATATATGAGGCTGTTTTGACTTGTTTGTTTGCCTGTTTTTTTTTTTTCCAAAGGTCGTTTTCTCCTTTCCGTGCTGCTGTGTCCCAAGTGGGTTTCTTCCTCTGCTCTGTCCCCACCGACGAGTCGATACTTCTTCACTTCCTCCGTGGAAAGGTTGCTCAAGATGTCGAAGACGATGTGGTCGTTTTTATTTTTTACATTCGAAATGAAGGACTCGTGGGAGAACATGTCTGTATAGAAGCTACCTTGGTGGTAATAGTCCATCCCCTCATCGTTTACGAACGCATCATGGGAATTTTTTAGTGAACTCCTATCGTTGCTTCGCTTCTTTTCCATCACAGGTTGATACTTGGATGGGTGTTCCTCCGAGTGGCCCAAGTGGTCGGAATAACTTTGCCGCTCCGAACCTCCACCGGAGTTTCTCGTGCTTATAATGCTCAGCAGATTAATCAGAATGTTTGACACCAGGATGTAGTATAGCGAGTTTTTGCTCACTTGCAGAGAAGGAGTAATAAATGTAATTACTGATTCGAAGACGAAGAAGAGAAAGGGAGCGCTTCCACTTATGTTGGCCCCTTTCAGTGCTTGGCTTTCCTCCTTCTGGAAGATCTCATCGTTCAGCAGGTCTCTATGCTTTATTATGATCATCAGTTTGTACAGTATGAGGAACAGACGCATCCTGCTGTCGTAGGTACTCTGAGTGAGATTAATATATTGCATGCAGTCGACTTCGTTCTTAAAAAATTTCGAATAAATGAATACGCTTGAGGAGGAATTCACCGCGGAGTCGCTACTACTGTGTGTGTTCTGTTTTGTTTTTTTTTCCTTGTTTTTTCTTTTCTTCCTTTCCATGTGCTCATTACTCGGGGGGAAGAACGGGTCAATCCAGTGGTCCTCGCAGTACGCGCTGAAGAGCCACTCGCTCTGCTCCCTCGACTGCTCCCCTTTCGGCAGCGACTCGGAAGGGCTACCACCCTTGGCTGGCCCTACAGGATGAGCAGGGCACTGTTTCTCCTCGTCTGGTAAAATTGTTTCCAGGTTGCTAAAAATCGATGCGTCTATTTTTTTTTTCAGCATTTGGTCCGACTTGTACTCTCTGAGGGGGTGGCCCCCCGCGGGGTCCCCGAGTGTTCCGCCTTCGAACGGTGCACGGTTGAAGGGTTCCCTGTTCAGGCGTCCCCTGGTGAGGCTTTCCATATGGAGGCCTTCCCGGGGAAGTGCCCCTTGGGCGCGTGGCCCCCCCTCATGCATTGGCCCTGCTTCCAGATGCACCGCGCTGCCGTTAACCACGCCGATCCCCCCCCCTCCACAGACGTTCACACAGTAGAGGTAGTTCCTCACATCGAAAAGGAAATTTTTCTTTCCATACCTTTTTGCCCTTCCGTTGAAAATTTTATTATATACATAATCGGCATCCAACAGTTCGATCTTCTTCTGAATCAGACTCTTCACCGAAATGGAGTGGCTGGTCTCCTCGAAGATGTTGTCGTCCCCACGATGCACCGATCTGCTGCAGTCGCTCAGGTTCAGGACATACTTATGGTTTATCCTCCTCTGGTTAATGAAGTCAATCACATTTTCAATGAGCGCGTCGTCATTAATGAGTCCGTGCGTGTTCACATTAACACCTCTGCAGTTGAGGAGCATCAATTTAATGTTCTGAGCAGAGTCTATATTTTTCCTGTGCAGGTCCTGATAGGAGTTCATCATCTCATGCATGCTGTCGTAGTTTATGTTAAAAAATACACTACAGATGGTAGGGTCGTAGGAAATTCGAATGAGCAATGGGTATGCCAGACTCTCCTTGGTATATATTCCTTTCACGATGAGCTCAAATACCTCACACATGATGTTGAGATTGTGCATGTAGATCGTTATTTCTTTTTTTGCTTCCTTTGTGTACAGATGGTGGTTCCTGGAGTATACAAATTTGTCGCTGTTTTTTTTTAACCTGTGAGTGAACAGGTCCAGCAGCTTCTCTACGTTGTTCCAGAATGGCTCCCTTCGGTAGAGCTCTACCTCGTGTTCCTTTGACATTTCTTCCTTTGGGCTTCCCCCCTTTGGGGTTCCCTTCTTGGGTGTATCATCCCCGGCTCGCCTTTCCACCTGGCTCAGGTTAAAATAAATCGCGTTGGCAAAGTGGAGAGCTAAGTTCAAAACGCGTAAGTGGTAGAATTTGTAAGAGGACACTTCGCAGGGGGGGTCCTCCGTCCGCATCTCCCCGGTTCGCGTCTCCCGCGTCCGTTTCTCCTGTTTGCGCTTCTCCTCAGTCCGCTTCCCCCCCGCGCTCTCCTTCACGTACCCCTTCACGTACCCCTTGACGATGCACAGAAGGACGTTAAACAAATTTCGAAATATAGAGACGCTTATCAAATCGTTGTCTTTAACAAAGGCGTAAACAAACTTCAGCACGTGGAAGACCCTCTTCATATAAGCCAGCTTGACGTTATCCAAGGTTGCACTATTGGCTCTGTCCAGACAGGAGAGGATTTTTTGGAGAAATAGATTGATGACCTTGGGTAGGGGCAGGAAGCCCTGGCTGTACTTGCACAGAAAATAAATGTTATTAAAATCGTTCATCTTAAAAAATCGGTTCAGGCTTAGATAAAAATTGCAAATATTTTTGTAGTTGTATGTGAGGAAATAAAGTAAGGATATGGTGAGTATTTCCCTCTTTTCCTCCGCCTGCCTCTTTTCTATGCTCAGGATGTCGTTGTTGATGGCTTGACTGACGACGTCGTTCTGTGGAAGGGGTGATGCAGAGGAGTGATGCAGAGGAGTGATGTAGAGGAGTGTAGAGGAGTGATGTAGAGGAGTGATGCAGAGGGGTGATGTAGAGGAGTGATGCAGAGGGGTGATGTAGAGGAGTGATGCAGAGGGGTGATGCAGAGGGGTGATGCAGAGGGGTG